CCTGGAATTTCGAGCCTCGACCCTTCGGGTTTGAGCGAGCGGAGGGGAACGGCGAAGGTGCCAGCGAAGCGCCTCGAAACTCGATCCTGGATCTTCCAAGCCCCATCCTCGAACCTCGATGCTAAGACCGTGAGCCTCGATCCTCGATGGCGGAGAGGGGAGAGCCCAGACATCCGATGATGCTCAGTTGTTGTCCATCCGCGGCATACGAGCTCTGGACCAATCCCCCGTGGGGCTGTTCCGCGTCCTGGCTCCAGTTTGTATTGTCCTGGGGCGCCAGAGACGACATCCAGAGGACGAAATCCAAGGGAAGCGCTGGGACCCTGGGAATCAAAAATCATGATTCTACTCTCAGTCCTCGAGGTCTGAGGGAGAAGAGCGACGAAGAGGAGGAGGAGGAGGAGAAATGAGAGGAGGGAGAAGGAGGGAGGAGAAGTAGGGACGTGAGGAGAACGAGGAGGAGGAGGGAGATGTGAGATGGGAGAAGGGAGGAGGGGAGGGGAGATGGGAGGAGGGAGAGGTGAGGAGGGAAGGAGAAGGAGGCGTGACGGCGACGGAAGGATGAGGAGGAGAAGAGGAGGAGGAGGAGGAGGAGGAGGAGGGAGGGGGGCGAAGGAGGAGTAGGAGAAGTAGGACGAGTAGTAGGAGTAGGAGTCAAGTTAGTCAGCTCGACCGAGACATGCATGGCATGCCCATTCCCACCCGCATTCCCACAAAATAAGAAACAGTGCTGGCACAACCGGGAGCCGAGATCACATCGGCGAGCTGGTTTGGCACGGCTGATGCGGCCGCGAGATCGGTTACCGATGGGAACTCCCCAACTCGTCTGAAAGGCTGCGCGGGCATTTCAGTACGAGTCGAGGATGCCCAAGAGGCCCCAGGAAGCTTCAAGGGGACCCCAGTAAGCCCCAGGATGTTTCAGGACAACCCAGGGAGCCCCAGGAGGCCCCAGTAGTCCCCTGAAGGCCCCAGCGAGTCCTTCCCCAGGAGGCCCCAGGATGGCCCACGAGACGCCAGGAGCCCCTCCAGGAAGCCCCAGGAGGTCCAGGAAGCCCCAGGAAGCCCCAGGAAACTTGGCTGGCAAAACGCACCGCACGCGCAGATCGGTCAGCTGGTATGGCAGAACTCTTGCAGCCACGATTGCGGTGGCCGATGGGAACTGGCCCAAAACATCTCAAAGGCCGCGCCAGCGCGCGGGAACCTCGGTGCAGATCGGTGACTCGGGCGGGCGCGATGGCATGATGACGTCGACCACGGTGGCGACATGCTGTGGAGGGCAGTGACCCGCGATGATGGCGACTACGACGGCAAGGCCAGCCACGGTGCCGATGATGGCGACGACTCTGGAAGGATTTGGACATGCGCTCGCGGCGACGCGCTCGCATGTCGCCCGCGTGGAATTTGTTGCACAGGATTCGCGCCCTAGGTGCATGACAGAGCATCGCGAGTGCACCGCGCGGCGTGATGAGATCGCTGGCCGTTTTACGAAATCATGGAAATTGCACGGTGTCCTTATGATTCCACCAATTGCGCGCGGGCAGGACTTCTGACGATGTGTGATGAAAACCCATTGGGCTTTTGTTTTAGGTCTTTATGTTGAAATGCTTGCAGGCACCGTGCATTTGGTAGGAATCTTAACATGAACGCGCGCACGTGCACTTGTGACACGTTTTGGGCAAGGGGTTGGACGACATGACGTCCATGCTGAGAGGGAAACAAAGAAGACATGTTGACATTGTATTGTTTTTCGCAGGTTCGGATGGGACGTCCCGGATGGGGCGGGTATCGGCATGGGGGAGGGGGGGGGTAGTAGTATATTCGAATAAGGACTAATAATAATCATACTACTACTACTAATTCTTATTATGTTTATACTGATAAGAATACTAGTGATATTAATAATACTGATAATAACAATACCAATAACAATATCACAAACTATATGATGACTACTACTACTAATAATAATAACATTATTATTACTACTAATATAAATACGAATAACAATCATGATAATAATAATACTAATAATAATAGTAGTAATACTAATGCTAATACTACTCATAATAATAATAGTAATAATAATAATGATAAGAATAAGAATAAGAATAATAATAATACTAGTCATATTAATAATAATAATAATAATAATAATAATAATAATACTAATAATAATAATAATGCGAATAATAATACGAATAATATGAGGATAATGGGGAAGAAGGAGGAGGAGGAGGAGGAGGAGGAGGAAGAGGAGGGGGAGAGGATTGGAGGAGGGGAAGGCGAAGGAGGAGGAGGAGAGGGAGGAGGAGGAAGTGAGGAGAGGTGAATGAACAGGGAGTAGAAGGGAGCTGGGGGACGCGATGGGCGGATGGGCGTGAAGCGGAGGAGGGAGGAAGGAGGAGTAGGAGTAGGAGGAGGAGGAGGAGAGTGGAGGAGTTTTTTTTTTTTTTTGTTTTTTGTTTATTTATTTTTATGGTTTTTTTTGGGGAGGGGCAAGCGCGGTGGGAACGGCCGAAGGCGCCGGCGACGCGCCCTGCCTCATCGCGCCCTCCCCCCCACAAACGGCAGTCCCGACGTGGGCAGCCGGCCCTGGCCGAGCGGCTGGCGAGGGAGTTGGGCCTCGGGCGGGGAGCCGCCGTGGGGGGGGGGGGGGGGGCTGTCCTCGCAGGGAGGGCCTCGCCGCGGAGGGCAGCCGGAGGCTGCCCTTCGATGCCTCGAGCCTTCGAGCCTCGATGCGCCTGTTCCTCGATCCCGCGATCCTCGATCTTTCGATTCCTCGAGCCTTGGATCCTCGATCCTCTCGATCCTCCGTCTCGGGGGCTCGGGGAGGGAGATGTCATGGCCATGATGTCTCCCCGGAGTGCATGGCCCCCTCTTCCTATTTCAATGCGTCCCTCGTCCCCCCTGCCTCGGGCAATGAGCTCGGGTGGGATTATGCTGAGGCTGAGTGATCCATCTCAAGCTCCCCGTCTGGCCGTCCATGCTCGCAGCGCCAGCATCCGGAGGAGGGGGAGGAGGGGGAGGAGAGACTGGGGAGGATTGGTGAGGAGGAGGAGGAGGATGGAGGAAGGTAGAGGAGGAGGAGAGGATGAGGAGGAATATCCCAGGAGGTTTCCCAGGAGGTTTCCAAGGAGGGGGAGGAGGAGGTGATTGGGAGGAGTGGGAGTATGTGGGAGGAGGGGGGGAAGGTAGGGGGAAGAGGGAGGGGTGAGGGGAATATGGGGGGGGACTGGAGAGGGGGGGAGGAGGAGAGGAGCGGGGGGTAGGTAGAGGGAGAAGGAGGGATGGGATGGTTGATGCTTCGGGGGGAGATTCGTCGGCGCGGCTGGAAGAGGAGTCCCTAGCCATTCTCTGCGCTCAAGCCGCACTGCTCCCCTGCCCGAGCCCACAGCGCAGCTCGGCTTCTGGCTCTCGGGGGCGCCGCCCTCGCCGCCGCGGCTGGACGCAGCGCGGAACAGGGGGCGGGGTCGCGCCCGACAGGGGTGCGGGTGCCGAGATTGAGCGGATGCCAGTGGGGAGGACTGCAGGCGTCCATGAGGAGGAGGAGGAGGAGGAGGAGGAGGAGGAGGAGGAGGAGGAGGAGGAGGAGGAGGGGGAGCAGGAGGAGATATCCCAGGAGGTTCCCAGGAGGTTGCTGGCCCCCCAGGGGTGCTTCCAGTCAAGTGGGACTCGTTGACTGAGAGCCTCCCGGGCAAGGCAGTAGAGCACCAGACGGCCGACCGAGGCCAGAGTCATCGCGCGAAACCAGCCGGAGGTGGGAGGACCCTGGCGGTCGCGCGTCGCGGAAGGAACCAGTGGGGGTTTATCACCCCGTTTTCGGTTCCGGGGCCCTCGCGGAGCGAAGCGATTCGAGGCATTTTGCACAAAGGTGAGGTCGAGGGTTATTCAATCGCTTCGCTCATTCCGCCGGCCCATATTGTCGCACCGTTGTGGGTTAGCCGAGTTTGGGGGCCTCTTGGGGGCCGTTTTGGGGCCTCTTGGGGCTTCTTTTGGGCCTCTTGGGCGCCTCTTGGGGCGTCTTGGGGGCCTCTTGGGGGCCTCTTGGGGCCTTTTTGGGGCATCCTGGGCGCCTTCTGGGGCGGAGGGCTCGATTTTTCAGTTATCGGTTCCCCTCGTTGAGCCCTCTTGGGCCTGTCTTTGGGGCCTCTTAGGTCCGTCTTGGCGCACTTGGGCCGTCTTGGGGGCCCTCCTGGCCGTCTTGGGAGCTGTCTTGGGGCCTCTTGGGCCGTCTTGAGCGGTCTTGGGGCCTCGTTGGGCCGTCTTGGAAGCGTCCGGAAGCGGAAAAAGCCAGAACGCAAAAACATAGAAAAAAACAATGAAATCAACGATTTTGCCTCTTTGGGCCCGCTACGAAGGCCTCTGGAAGCCCTACGGGGCTCTTGGAGGCCATCTTTGGCTGTCTTTCTTTGGTGCCCTGGTTAACAAACAGAGAGGGCGAATCTTTGGCCGTCTTGGGGCCCTCCTTGGACCGTCTTGGATGCTTCTTGGGGAACTCTTGGGCCCTCCTGGGGCCCTGAAACAGGGCTCCGGCATAACAGGGCTCCGGCAGCTCTGACCCGACCTTGCCGGGACCTTGCCGGGGTACTTTTCGTCCGGGGACCCCCAGGGGCCGCCCCGCGCGCGCGAACTAGAAATACTGTTAACCAGGTACCGGAGATCTTAGCACGCCCTGGCCCGTTGGGCCGGCGAATTGTCATGATGCTTGTTGCGTGGCCTCGTGCTTTTCCCGTGGCATCAGATTTGTGGTCTGGTGGTTGCTCCTCTGTTGTTGAGTCGGGCTGTTGCTGAGCTGGACGCGGCAGCGAGACCTCGATCGAAGTTGCTCCGTCGGTGGTCAGGTCCGTTCTTGCCTCGGCCGAGGAGCCCCAGCCTCCGCAGCGGCTCTGCCCGGAGCAGACCTCGCCGACGCCGAGGCGCCCGAGGTGGCGGCGGCGCTGCAGCAGCTCTGCGAGCGCCTGAAGCCGCTGAGGGGCACCGCCGGCCAGCTGCTGCGGCGGATGGCCTCGGCCGAGGGCGGCGGCGCCCGGCCGGCGGCTGGAAGCGCGGCGTACGTCGACGTGAAGGTGCAGCTCCTGCTCGGCTACCTGGTGTGCCTCGTGTACTACCTGCTGCTGAAGACCCGCGGGCTGCCGGTCCGCGACCACCCCGTGGTCCTGCGCCTGATCTGGATCCGGACGCTGCTGGAGAAGATGCGCCCGGTCGACCAGCGCCTGCAGTACCAGATGAGCAGACTGCTGCAGGCGCTCGACGCGCCGGCGGGCGCGAAGGGCGGCGACGGCGACCTCAAGTCGCTCAAGCCCGGCGAGCTGGCGGCGAACGTGGAAGATGAGGAAGGCGACGAAGACGAGGCTGCTCCAGTAGAGGCTGATGACGATGGCATTTACAAGCCGCCGATGATTGCCCAGGTCGAGTACACCGGAGACCACGTCAGCATGCAGGAGCGCGCAGAGAAGGACCTGGAGCGTGCAAAGGGCCGCCTGGAGCGCAGCGAGTTTGTGAGGTCTCTGCGGGCGGAGTTCACGGAGGCGCCGCACGAGGTCCACGGCTCCTACCAGTCGTCGCGCGCAGAGAAGGCTGCCAGGACGGGATGGGCCAAATAGTCCCCAATCCGTGCTTGCACTGAAGAGGTCCTATAGTGGAAGTTGACATATTTGGCGAAAGTTCCCGCCGAAATTTTGGCAGCAGGCTGGGTTCCCGGGTTCCCGGTTCCGGGTTCCCGGGTTCCCGCTTATTGGTTCCGGGCCGATTTCGGTGGGTCATGGGTTCCCGGGCTCCCGGATTCCCGGTCGACCTCCTCAGCGAAAACCATCCACTGATTGGGATTTTTCTCTGGTGTAGTATACACCAAGTCGCCAGGCCGGCCAAGGAGCTCGGTGTATGGACGTCCCAGTTCCCCGAGATGTGGGGTCTCGGAGCGCCCATGCACCGAATGCCTCCGCCGAATTTCAGTGCTCCTTGGCCGACCGCATCCAGCCCTTCAAACAGGAAGATGACGGAGCAGCAGGAGTACGAGGAGGAGCGCATGGTGCGGCTCCGGACGTCCAAGAGGGACCTCAAGGCCCAGCGGAGGACTCCGGGGGCGCCAGCTGTGCGCCGCTCTGCAACACTCGAGCCAGTCGGGCCCACCCTCGGCCCAGGGCTGATGCCTCGGCAGTCTTTGCTGACCGCTGGCCAGGGCCAGGCATCGCCGTGCATCGGTCCTTGGCCCAGGCGTGGCTCGGCCAGGCTGCTTGGCATCGCTCGGACGTGTACATTTTTCCTTCGGCGAGGACCAACGAGGAGCATCCTTGATCATTTGGCGAAAAAACCACGCACGCAACCGAAAAAAACACAGGGAATGGACGTCCGAGCGATGGCCAGGGCTGTTGCGGTGTCGAGGGCGTGGCCGGCGGCCTCGCGCGCGAGGATGCTGCGAGAGACCCGAGCAGAGTCTGGAGGTGCGGGGCGGCCCACGACTCGACGGATTCGGCGATGCGAGCGGGGAGCATCGACCCGCGGCGTCGGTCGCTGCGATCGCGCACCGCCAGTGCCCCCCCTCCTCCTCCCCTCCTCCTCCTCCTCCTCCTCCTCCTTCTCCTCCTCCTCCTCCTCCTCCTCCTCCTCCTCCTCCTCCTCCTCCTCCTCCTCCTCCTCCATCCTCCTCCACGGAGGAGCCTCGCTTCGATCGATCTGCCTGAGCATTGGGACCGATCGATCCACGAGGAAGGGCAGCGATGGGGAGGAGCCGCGGCGGTGACAGAAGCGCGGCAGGAGGCCTCGGCCTCACAGCTGTGTGGGACCTCCCGGGCCGGACGGAGCCGTGAGGGCCCCAGGGGTCGGCGGCGAGCGAGGGGGGGAAGCGAGAAGGATGAGAGGCCTTCTGAGAAGTGCCCTGAGCTTTCCCCCGATGGCAGAAGAGCAAGACGTCCCCGAAGGCGCGAGAGGGCTCCTGAGAAGACCCGCCGCCTTCTGGGAGTGCCGCCTCCTTCTCGTTCCCCCCCCCTCGCTCGCCGCCGAGGGTGCCCAGAACGGGGCGGCCCAAGGACGTTGTGATTTGCTCGCGGCTCCTGGATGCCAGGGCCCCTCTTCCTCCAGTGGTCCTGCGGGCATGTCCAGGGCCTGCGGCGGCCGTCCGGGGCGACCCGGGCCTCCTCACGAGGCTCTCGACGAGGCGCGGCCGATGGAGAGAGAGCACCCCAGGGCCGGGAAGCCTCAGAGACATGTCGAACCCCTCCGAGGACCCCCATGCCTGGCATCGCGGTCGCCTTTTGGCCCCCCCCCCGGCCGGGAGCCGCTCCGAAGGGGCCCCCAGAAAAATCCCTCCTCGGGCCAGAAAGCGCACCCCCACCGCAGGCGCAGGTGCAGCGGTGGGCCGGAGTTGCGTCGTTGGTGAGATGGTTGTTGGTTGCTCGCGTCCCCCTCCTGCCTCCTGCCTTCCCCCTCTCCAAATAGTGTGCGCTGAAGAAAAAATGCGGCGGGCCAGAGATAGAGAGCGCGACGCTGCCGCACCAAAAAACGATGGACGCCCTGGGCTTTCAGGGTTGGATTTCTTGTGGAAGGTTTCTTGTGGTCGGGCCCCCACTGTACGTCCAGACGCCGAACATGTCCCCGCCAAGAGAGAGCGCTTCGGCTCCCGAAGACATCCAAGAAGCCCCAAGGTGCAGTGTCCCTGGACGACGCGACGGCCGACTTCCGCGAGCTGTCCAGGTCGGCGGCGCGCAGATGGGGAGGGGGCGCGAGGGGAGGGGGTCCCTTCTGAGAAGGCGGCGGGGGGCTTCTCGTGAACCCTCCCGCCCTCCTGCGAGGCATTCCGAGGAGTCCCCGAGCCATTCCGGAAGGACTCCGCCTAACTGGAGGACGCCCCCCCCCCCCCCCCCCCGGGAAATGGCGGGTTTCTTCAGGAGTGCGGTTCGGGCGAGCGGAAGGCGGCGCCTGAAGGCTTCCTGTACCAAGGCAGCGCAGGGACCCGCCAGGAGATCCTGAGCAGGGGGCGGATCCCGCCGATTGCTCACCTCCGGGCCCCCGCGGGGGCCCAGTCTGGGCATAGTCTTTCGGGCTGCGCCCGGCCGTGGCCACGAGGATCTCCACAGATGCACCCCAGGCGTCTACTCGCCCTGCCTGCTCCGAGTTTCTTAAGAAGCCTCGGGGGGGCGTCACCCCCGCCGACAGCCCCACGTCGACTCCCGTCGCGGGCAGCCACCGTGCGCCGATGGCGCTCCAACCCCGTCGCGGCGCGACGACGAGGCGAGGTTGACCCCCGTCGAGGAGGGGGGGGGACCCCCCCTACGCTTGTCAAGAAACCCAGGGTACTCGCTTTGCCTACCTTACTCTCGCAGTCATGCCCTCTCTCAACAAAAAGAGAGGCACCCTGGGCACCTCCCAGACGCTCTGCATGCACGGCCGCACCCTTCGCCCCTCCCCCCCGAGCCGCCCCTGCCAACCTCGGGAAGACAGCTATCGGGTTGGGATGAGGAGGAGGACTCAGGACTCAGGATGACAACCACTCCACTGTGGCGCGGGGGGCGCCGCGTGGGCCAGCAACTGGACCTGACCAGCGCTGGCCCCCGACCGTGACGTGGACCAAGGAGACGCAGAAGCGCAGGAGCAACTCGTCCCCGAGGAGCAGCGTCACCTGCGGCCGAGGAGCTCGTCCATGAGCACGGGGGAGAAGGGGGCGCTGCCATCGCGCTCGGCCTTCTCCAGCAGCTCCCGCAAGCGACCCTTCTGCTTCTTCGGCGCCGCTGCCGCCTCAGCACTGCCAGCCGCCGCCCTGCACTGCTGCCCTTCGCCCTCGTGGGGCCCATCCTTCATGATGGCATCGCCGACGGGCTCAGGCAAGTCCCGCAGGACCGAAGGTCATTCAATCGCCCACCTCGGCACGGAAGCTGGAGCCTCAGCGCGGAGCACGTGTCCAGCAGGAGCATCAGCAACCTCAACAACCTCCCAACCTCTGAGAGCTGGTCGCCCATGTCCTCTTCATGGCCGCATGGCCGCCGCTGCTATCACACAAAACCTCCGTCGACTCCTCTGCAGCCCCAGATGCATCGCAACGACGCTGAACATCAGCTACAGCGTGGCCCCGCACGTGCAGAGCACAGGGAAGCACGCCACGGGAGCATCCGACGAGCAGGACAGCTCTTCCACCGAGTCGACGGTCAGGTTCGCAACCTCGCCCGCAACGTCAACCGCGACGGAGCACTGAGGAAGGCGCCTGCTGCGACGACGACGACGACCTCCAGCACCCTGGCGTTGAAGACGGTTGAGCTCGGGCAGGCTCGCAGTAGCAATCTGCGCCGCTGGCACGCCGAACTCGTGGGCCGCGAGGTTGCGGCGCGCCACCACAGCGGGCGGCACGTCAGCGTCTGCGGCTCCAGCAGCAAGAACTGGGACGATGAGACGAACACGCCCCTCAACTTGGTCGCGGCCGCTAGGTACCGCACGCAGCGCGCCCAGCTCAGCTCGCAGCGCATCGGCCTCGGCAAGGGCCTGCGCCAGCTGCCGCTGCAGCCGCCGAATGGCCCCGTCCGCAGCGATCGCCGCCGCCGCCCTCGCCGTACGCCGCGCCGCAGCTGAGCGTCTCACAAGGTCACCTCCAGGGGCCTCATCCCGTGCAGCCATCTTGTCCCCGTCCCCCCGTCCTCCTTAGCCCAGCCGAACCCGGGCCGCCAGCAGCACGCCACCTGCCATGGGCGAAAAGGCAGCGGAGAAAACGGGGCACACAGCTTGAGCCCAAACGGCTACGGAGGGGGGGAGGGGATGAGGAGGAGGAGGAAGAGAGGAGGAGGAGGAGAAATAATGATGATGTTGCTGCTGCTGATGATGATGATGATGATGATGATGCTGCTGCTGCTGATGCTGACGATGATGATGTTGATGGTGATAATGATGGTGATGATGTTGATGGTGATGATGATGATTATGATGATGATGACGATGATGACGATGATGAGATGATTAGAATGGCGATCATGATGATAATGATGATGCTGATGATGATGACGATGATACTGATTATGCTGATGATGATGATTATGCTGATGATGATGATGCTAATGCTGATGCTGATGCTGATGCTGATGCTGATGCTGATGCTGATGATGATGATGATGATGATGATGATGATGATGATGATGATGATGATGATGATGATGATGATGATGATGATGCATCTGTTGCTGCTGCTGATGATGATAAGGAGGAGGAGGAGCAGGAGGAGGAGGAGGATGAGGAGGTGCACCATTACACGTAGGCGGTCGAAGACATCGTGCATTAAATGCGAATGCTATTGCCCATGCCCTTCATCCTCACATCCCCTTCCTCCCAACACGATAGTTCTTCTCCTCACAACCAGGGCTGGCCCGCCGAAGGGCGGTGGCCGTGGGCGCAAGGCCGGCGCCAGGGGCGGGTCCGCCCTGCAGGAGTTCCAGAACGCCACGGAGCGGGCCCGCCAGGCTGACAACGACGGCGACGAGGAGGGAGGAAGGAGGAAGGAGGGAGGAAGGAGGAAGGAGGAAGGAGGAGGCGAACGATGATGATGATGATGATGATGATGATGATGATGATGATGATGATGAGGAGGAGGAGGAGGAGGAGGAGGAGGAGGAGGAGGAGGAGGATTCGTAGTGAGATGCGCTGATAGAGGTCGGATGATGCCAATCTATAGGATTAGAATGTTACTAGTATGCGTAAAGCAGGATGCTGAGGAGTATTAGTAGGCTGGAGGAGAAGGTCAGGAGGAACAACTGGCCCGGTGATGGGCGGCAGGAAGAGGCAGCGGGGTGACAGAATACGAGATGAATGTAACGACCACATTGCCTGCAAGGCTTCATTGGTGATATGAGGGCGGTGGGGTGGAGGATGAGGGGGAGCGTCCTCCCCGCGACGACGACAGGCCAGGCGCCTCGTGGGCTCGGCGCGCGACGGCGGGGGGCCTGGCAAGAAGGGCGGCGGGGGCAAGGCCGGGGGCAGAGGAGGCAAGCGGAAGCGCTGAGCTGCGCCCCCCCGCCCCCGCGCGAGCGGGCGGACCCCCCCCGGCGGCCTCCGGGGGCTCCGCGCGAGACCGAGGGAGAGCCAGGCGGCGGCGGGCCGAGGGCCCCGCGCGGCCGTGGCCGCGCGACGCTGCCGCCCGCTCTCCCGTGCCCGGGCCCGCGCGCAGGACGGCCTGCCGCAGGCTGGGCTGCCGGTGCGCTGTTCCGGGCCCGCCCGGCGTAATCCCGCGCCTCGGCCACGCGCCAGGGCGCCCCTGTACGCCAGAGTGGCCTCCGGCGTGCGGCTCCGGGCTCCTCCTCCTCCTCCTCCTCCCTCCTCCTCCTCCTCCTCCTCCTCCTCCTCCTCCTCCTCCTCCTCCGCCTCCTCCTCCTCCTCCTCCTCCTCCTCCCTCCTCCTCCTCCCCCTCCTCCCCCCTCCTCCTCCTCCCCCCTCCTCATCCTCCTCCTCCCCCTCCCACCTCCCCCTCCTCCCCCTCCTCCTCCTCCTCCTCCTCCTCCTCCTCCTCCTCCTCCTCCTCCTCCTCTCCTCCTCCTCCTCCTCCTCCCTCCTCCTCCTCCTCCTTCCTCCTCCTCCTCCTCCTCCTCCTCTCCTCCTCCTCCTCCTCCTCCCCCTCATCCTCCTCCTCCTCCTCCTCCTCCTCCTCCTCCTCCTCTCCTCCTCCTCGCGGGGGGGGGGGGGGCAGGCCCCAGCGCGCAGAGGGTGGCATCGCATGCTGCCGTCGGCCAGCCGCGCGCCGAGGGTCCCTCGTGCCTACGGGGTCGGTCTCTGCGCGTGGCCGGCATTGTTGTGGTCGCCTTCCGCCCTCGAGAGGTCAGACAAAATGAAGGCCGCCCTGATCATCTTCAGTCCCGGAGGGGCGGCGGCTCGTGCCTTCGCCGTGGTCAACGTCTCTGCTGCCATCGGCGCTCCGGTGGTCGGCAGGTCCAGTCCATCGTGCTCGTCCCCGGCGATGAGGCTGGAGAGGGTCCAGGGCGTCCCAGAAAAGGACCTCGCCTTCGAGGGATCGAGCGGTTGAAGTCTCACCATCGGTGGAAGCCAGCGGAAGGCCGGTGAAGGCAACACGGGGGCGGCTCCAGCGGCTTCACCCCCAGAGGTGGCAAGATTTGTGGATTCGTGGTTTTCAGGACTGGCCATACGGGTGCAGGGGGCTCGGTGAGAAGACATGGGATTATTTGCGTCGTGCAGTGTGGACTCCTTCCCTGCTCCCAGCGGCTGGCTGCAGCATCGAACCCTCTCCGACGAATGGGGCAACACATCCTCAGCAGGGATCGGAAGAGTAAGGCAAATCAAACAAGAATAAGGATTGGGCCGAGAAGGTGACGAACAGCAGATCCAGCACAGGCCTCTGACCGAGCCGCGCTGGGGGGGGCGCTCGATCCTGGGGAGGGCGGGAGCGAGGCCCCGGGCCTCTGGGCGTCCTTGAGCCCGGTCAGAGCGTGGCGACCCATCTTCTCCTCTCCCCGCCCTCGTCCTCCACGGCCGGCGCTGCCCGCGGTGGGGCCCCCGTCTCCTCGGTGGGGGAGCTGCCG